CTCCTGTGTATACATCCGTACCGGAGTCTGCATGGCTTGAATCCTCCCTCGATATAGATATGTGATCCTTTCTTTCTCTCAGGCTTCCTGGAAAGTGCTCTGCACCTCTTGGCCCTGGACAGTGCGTGTCAGGTCACACCACAGCTGTCATTCCGCCCTGTTCTCTCGCGGTCTGTCACTCGGCAGTGTCGCCCAGCCTGTCTCTGCCTACGCCCCTCTGTCGCGTCCCTGCTCTGTGTCCCTCGCATTCTCGCCTCCCTGCCCTTTCTCCGTCTCGCGCGTTCCCGCTCCGTGCTCTCTCACTCCCCCCCCGATCCAGCCTGGCCGGCGCTCTCCAGCCCTCTCTGCTGCGCGTGGGCTCTTCCTGCGTGCGGATCGCAGTGCTCGCTCTTTGAAGAGTGTCAAGTGTCTGGGCATGTTTTTGTTTCCTCGCCTCGCCTCCCGGAGCAGGAGCGGAGAGCAGGGTGCTGTTCACAAGCCCACAGGCTTCTTTAAAGGCTCTTAGTGACATTTTAACTGGTTTTGTTTCCAGCCTTCTCTGAAAATTAGTATTTTCCTGTCTAATGATGTTTGGAGTGGCAAAGCTCAAATGATTAGTTTCATTGATATTATAATGTGGCGCAGGGGTCAGCATTGCTGCCTTGCAGCGCCGAGGCCCTAGGTTCAATTTCTGACCTGGGAAGTTTCCACGTTCTCACTGTGTTCATGTGAGTTTCCAAAGTCCAAAGACAATTAGCCCTTATGTGAGTTGGTGCGTGTCTGTGTTTGTGTGTGCCTGCCCTGCGATGCACTGGCATCCCCTCCAGGGTCTACCCTGCCTTGTGCAGGGAAAGGATTGTCTCCCCCGCAACCCAGAACTGGACGCAGCAGTTAGAAAATGGATGGACATTGTAATGTGTGCTGCTGGCCAGGTAAAGGTTTGATTCCAGCACAGAGATTTTTAAAGCCCTGCTTTCCTGTTTCAGGAGCAGAAATGAAAGTGCCATCGCTCAGCAATGTGCGCCGTTTCAGGGCTGCTGAGCAGTAGGCTGTTTGCACGTCAGCCTAGCGCGGTTCCTGTCCGCTACTTTGTCTTGAGTAAATGTGCTGAGACAGATGTGGAGGTTTCTGCTTGGTCGGTGCAGTGTGCTCGCCAGGCCCTGCAGACGAGTCTCGCGCCAGAGCCCACGTCTCCTTCGCCAGCTTTCTGTTCTCGTTATTGAAGGTGCGGTGTCAGGTCCGCTCGCGACCAGCTTTGCACTGAAAGCCAAGAGTTTTTTAGGTCTCCAAGCCATTCGTAATCAAAGTTCCTGTTTTAAAATGTAAACAAAACAGACAAAGCTTGGTTTTGCTCTCCCCTAGTTGCAAAATGAGCATCTTTTGGGATTAAAACAGAGCTGCACAGCACATGCTTCCCAGTGCTCATTTTTTTCTGTTTTCTGGGTCCAGCTTTCTAATTAATGCTAATTATTGCATTTCTGCTCAGCTGGATAAGTATATGGGCACGGCTGCTGTCTAAGGACGTACTGGACGATGCATACTGGGGTGCTTTGAAGGAGCAGCCCTGCACTCGAACGCGCTGGCACGTGTGATGTCGACTCGCACTGGCGTCACGCCAGCGAGGGCCGAGCTGGCGGGAGGTGGGGTTAACCAGCCAGGTGGATCGCCCGGCTGCAGCGGCGAGGGGTCCTGTCGCTCAGCGGCAACACGCCACCCTGGCAGCGCACGTGGGGGGGCAGAGCACTGCTGAATGTCATCATAAGACATGAAAGAGAAGGTCCATCTGTGTGCCGATCCCACAGCGCTCCCAATCCAGCAGGGATTTGCTTAATTAATAGAGCAACAAGGTTGCTCCCAGTGCTCACTTGTCATTGTGCTGTGATTAATTATCCAGTGGGGCCTTGGAAGAGGTGTTCATTCATGTGTGTGTCACCTTAGCATTTTCCTGATGATCAGACTGCAGCTCACTGTGTTACCAGCAGTCCTGCTGATCAGACTGCAGCTCACTGTGTTACCAGCAGTCCTGCTGATCAGACTGCAGCTC